GATGGTAAGAAATTCTGCTCTAAACGGCTCAGTTAGGTTTAATGAGGGGNACATCATTATCCACCATCAGGTAAGTGAAGCTCTGAAGGTTTTCTAGCTTTTCAGAAACTAAAAGTGATGCAGATACTGAAGTCTGACTTTATCCACGGTCTCAGACCCCTCCATGATTTCTAAAAGCACCTGCAAATTAGCAGGGTGTTCACATACTTATTATCTTCACTATATGTTTAAATCCAAAGCTAAATAAGTTAGCTCCGGGAAATAGCATAGGATCCCATTTCTGGCATGGATGCATCATAAAACGGGATTTTAATCTATTTATTTTCTCAGGAAAAACATTAACGTTTTTTTTTTTTTTTTCGATGTTTAATATGCTAATTATATTTATGGAGGGAAAAACATAATTTCTTTTTGTAAAAGTTGCGCAGATGAGCTGATGACACACTGAGCTGAATACTGACACCTGCTGGACGTTTGAAATCACTGCAGGCAGTGAGTTTGACAGACTAAACAATGATTTGATGACCTCTAATATGATTCAGTCCATTGTTTGCTGTTTTATTTCATATCTTTGTTTAAATAGAAAATATGTTTGATATTTTTAAATGCAATCCATAAATGTGAAGATATAACAGGAAAATTTAATTGAACATGTGAATAAGGATGTTTGTGGACTAGGATTTATTTATTTATAATAAAAACAGTAAGAACAGCAAACTAAGTCCATTTGATTTCAGATAATTTGATAACCGAAAGGAACCGGCTATATGAGAAAATTAAAACATGAGATCAAAATGGTCCCACTCGGCTGAAACCTTTCTGCTTCAGGCTGCTTCATATCTCATTGATTTAAGAATAAAAAGCAAATATCTGAGATTTTTTGTTGCTGACAGATCCGCTTATAAACACAGTTTAGTTTGTCAGTCAGTTGTGAAACAGCTCCTGCATCATCAGTCATGCGATTTCTTTGAAACGATACGCGCAGCGATCCAGACGCATCCGTGATGCTGGATCCATCTCAGACTGGATGCACGATGCACCAACAGTCAACAAGAACATTAGCAGGTTGTCGGAGCTTATTCACCTTCTGCATAATCATGATACCAGGAGTGAGCAACTGATAAAAAAAAAAACACCAGACTGAGAGTCACTAGGAGGGAACCACAGATGAGGAATAATCCTGATGATGCGATCAAAGCGTTGGAATTATCTAAAACTTTACAAAAACTCCTAAATTCATATGTCCATATCTATTCTGTGAAAGCATTCCTTGTATTTGTTTTAGGTTTATGGTTCCTGTAAATGTAGCTAATTTGCCATATTTCATTTTCTCGTCTCTTTTTTCCCGCGCATTGGTACTTTTCCCGGTGTCCACAGGCTCCTTCCTGTTAGCTGTTAGGGAGTCCTGCTTCCAAATGACTTCTACTCTTATGAAAATACAAATGTGTGAATAAAAAAACAAATGCTGCCATTCATCCATCAGAATCTGCTGATAGTTTAAGATGTACAAACATTATTTTCAGAATCGGCCCCTAAACCTGTTCAGGTTTTATTCTTCTTGTCTAAATCGTTGTTTGCCATCTGAAGACTTGGATATAAAACCCAAAGTTTTCCAGCTCTGCTGCGGCTCCTGTGGAGGCAGTTAGGTTTGCTTTAAGGGCGGCTGCGCTCTGGGAGGAAACATTTGCAGGTCGGACCGCTCTTTTTGGGAAGCGTAATAACCTCTGGTCTCGTTGCTTGCAGAACGTGAAGTTACTCCAGCAGTTTATCAGTCCCCACACTGGAATGGTGTATGACCCCACTCTGACCGGTAAGCCCAGCTCTGGATCTATGAAGGCATGAAGCTTAGCAACTAATGAAACATTTCCTGTTTTTTATTTTTGTTTCCTGTCTTCTTTCCTCAGGTGTTTGTATGAAGCAACAGAAGAAGCTTAACGAAGCCATCAACAAAGCCAGAGACGATGGTAAGAAATTCTGCTCTAAACGGCTCAGTTAGGTTTAATGAGGGGAAAAAGCATTCCAATGCTCTAACAGGAAGTGGAGTAGGAACTGCGTTTGTCACAGAATAACATCTGATAACATCAGTCAGAATAGAGATGATGTCAAAATGAATCACTTGAGTGCGGCCATGGGATCATCCTGAGGACAGGCTTTAATAAATTGGGCACATTAGATTACAAAGTTGTTGCTGCATGTTACAAATGTATGGAGACATAAATAACTCACCGTCTAATGCATTAACTTAATCAAAATGAACGCCTGTTAGCCATTTTATTTTATTTTTATTAGTCCTGCATGAAAAAAAAGCTGAGATTGCTCCATTTCCAAAGGTAATGTTCAAAGGATAAACGTGTCCATTCCTCCTGCTGTATAACATACGAGTGTTTTCAGTTTCCTCTGGTGGGGTACAGCAACATGTCTGGGGAAAAAGTTTCTCTCTACTGTCGCTGCATGCATGCTCAGAGTGAGGGACAAAATCCAAGCCAAGGTCCGTTACTGCAGGCTCATCCAGGAGGAGCGTGACCTGAAAGTCAATCACTGAGTTCCAATTCATGTGGCGGGAATGTTAGATTTATTGAAAGGTTTTATCTGTTAATGTGTTTGACTGACATTTAATGACAGATTCTAATATCTCTGCAGTGGGAATATAAATCTGATAGTGCTGCTGCTGCTGAAGCTCCTTGAAAATATTAAATAAAAATAAAAAGCAGTGGGAAGTTCGGTGACATTCTTTTCCTGCTTTGTGTGTCAACTCTCACGGTTGCTAGGCGACAGAGCGTACGGGCGGTGAAAGCTGCAGAAGGCTGGACCTGTTTGAATTCAGCCAGTCGTCTTATTTTCACAGACCTCCAAGGATCCAGACAGACCGGGTCCTTGGAGGACGCAGTCTCTGAAATCAAACGCACCCCATGACTGGATGCAATCACCTGGTTCTAACCAGTATTATCTGTTCAAAGATCCCTGAGATGATTCATCCTGTCAATTGTTGCTTCATATATAAACTGAATTAAATAAGAACAATATTAATTACATTTTTTTTATGTAGGTGTTTTCAGTAGGTTCAACAGATTTTAATCAGTAGCTCTGGAGATACTGGGCCATCAGTAAACGGCTGATGATGTCACATCATCTAGAAGTCAATTTACAGTGTAGGTAGCAGATCTGCTAGGGGGCGCTATGCATGCCAGTCACGTTACGCTACATGATTGGCTGAACGTTGCCACATGGTGGTTGCCCAGACAACAATAATAACATGTAGCGTCTGTGTTCAGAGTCAGGAGCATCTGCAGCGTTAGCGTCTCTAATGAATCTGTTTATGGTGAACAGTAACTGTTAGACCATGATATAAAGTGCTGGTTAGCGCTGTGGCTAACAGGTTAGCCTCTTTTAGCTCGCTCAGTTAGCCACATTAAGCTACATTACTTTTAAATTTGTGTCAGCAACGGTTTTATTTGTCTAAAATCTCTAAGAAAGTCATTTTTTAGGATGTCCCATTTGTCCTCCTTTGCCCTCAGATCTTAATAAAAAGAATAAGTTTAGACTTATGTAGAAGGCAGTCCTTTCCAGGCGTCTCAAACCGGTTCCAGAAAGCACCGTGTGGCTGCAGGGTTTCTTTCCAACCAAGCAATAGCGTCAGACTCCAGTCATCTCCTCAAGTCATCATATTCAGATTGCACTCAGCTGATGAGGTGACAGGAGTCTGGTGTCGATTGCTTGGTGGGAAAGAAAACCTGCAGCCAGACGGTGCTTTCTGGAACCAGTTTGACACCCCTGGAAGACCAACAATGATTGTTTTCTACTTTCAGCCACTTTAGATCATCAATGAAATGTAAAATAATAGTAAATATAGGGGATAACATGTTGAGATTTTAACCTCTTACACCCTCAGGGGGTATAAATAAATTTCTGCCTGACAAAAACACACAAAAGTAAATAACTTATAGCCTCACAGCTATTAGATTTAAGAAGAAACTTTTGGTACCTCTGTAAAGGTAAGATGTCATAGAATGGTTTTCTGGTGTCAGCACCATTGTAGCTTTGACCCTGCCTGAAATATTAGGGACAAAATATTTAGTATTTTTTGAACCTCGCCAAAATTTTCTTTGAAATAAACATTGCAAAGCACTACCAAAATATTATTTATAGCGCAAAAAAGTAGTACAGACTTTTAAATCTAAATGTTGTGTAAAAATATACCAAATTTGGACTCAATCAGATGAATCATATTTATTTTAGAATGGTATTAGTGAGAAATTTCTTAGGCGGAGAGGCCATTTTGGCACATTTATCCATAAATGTCACCAAACTGTGCCAAATGTGTTTTTTACATCAATACTGGGGGTTTATTAAAACTACGAGGTCACGTAGCAGCTGGACCCACCGGTGGGTCCGTCGGGTTCTAGGGGTTAAGATATTTGAGCCTTAAGAAATGGGGGTAACACAGTTTGTTCAAGTGGAGTTGCCGTATGATGTCATAAGGAGGGGCGGGGCCCCAATCAGATCTGGTACCTACAGCGGCACCAGGTTCTGTCGTAACACAATCAGAGTCACGCTGAAGATGTTTTCCTACATCTGATAAAAGTCCAGCTTTTAATCCAATTGTTTTCAGACTCTTAGGACTAATTCTATGAAGTTTAATAAATACGACTCCTGGATTTTAACTTTTAACTGCAGCGTCACTAAAAGTCAGTGTTTGGACTGATGAAACATTTCTCCTTTCAGGTTTGCTTCCTTTTCAGATTCCACATGTGGATTTTTCAGGAGAGGACTACTCCAACTCCCATGATGCCGTTGGGCTCACACCGCCGCCGCCGCTCTCCAGCGAGCCCTGGTATAAGTGGTACGGAGAAATAACGCCCAATGAAAAGAAAGTGGAACAAGTCAAGAAGACGTACAAAGCTTATTTAAAAGGCTAGGATCATCAAAGAAGCTCTGCAATGATCAGCCTGCCTGAATATTTAAAAACTGTTCAATAAAAACCAACCAAAGGACGTCTGAGGAAGTGTTTATTAAGCATCAGCGTTGGGTTTAAAGAGGAGGAATGACTGATTCTCCAGCTGTTGTGATGATGGGGTCCGATCACGGGTTGACCTTGTTGACCATAGTTTCTCCCAGAGCCTCCAACACCTCCCTCTTGTAGTCTTCAAAGTCTCCCTCGATCTGGTTCACCGTCTGGTCCTCCACCACCCACAGCTGGCACTGGGTCTCCGTGATGAGCCGCGCGTCGTGGCTCACGATGATCACCGCTGCTCAGAGAGAGGCAGAGAGTCAGAGCTGAAGGCTCCCGTTTGTGCTAAAACGCCGCCCTGCTTTCAGGGTCCATGTTACACCTTAAGGTCCGGTTCTGTTTAAACCTTCACTTTGGTTCTTTTGTAGATTTTAGTCCAAAACTCTGGAATAACTTTAGTTTTACCGTGTCTGTTGGTTTGTCTAACATGTAATAAATATTCAGAAGCATGTTTAAATGCTTCCTGGCTGAATAGGCGGGGTCTTCTGTTCCCATGAAACAACTCAATTGCTGCATCAGCTTTCAAAAACCTTTAATGCAGCGATGGAGTTGATTCCTTCCCGCTATCATCACAACCCAAACCCCTTTACAGGGGAACAGAGGACCTCACCTATTCAGCCAGGCCAACAATTCCCTTTAACGACCCCCTTTCAGAGACATAGACAGGTATGGGAAATTGCAGGCTAACAGTGAAGCCAAACGACCCCCATTCCAAAGGGGGGGACCCGTTCATCTGTTTCTATTTGCATGTTTTTTAAACATAAACCAGGCTTTGTTGGGCTGCTGGATAAAACCTGGAACTAAACTCTATTTCTGACATTTAAAATTAAAGCTTCCTGGATGGAAGAGAAACGTCTTCAAACTTGGAAGCTACAGTTTGTGACTCTAAAGTTATTTTAACAGGATTAGATAATGGAGCAATAGTTCAGGATAGCTTTGATCACAGATTTTAACACCGGTCAGATGAAAAGTTTAACCTTAAAAGGCCTAAAGACAGACCTGGAATCACAGAAATGTGACTGCCTCCCTGATGGGAAGATGATTCTTCTTTTTTTACATCTCCAAGGTCCTCTAAGCCTCATTAGCTCCGTTTCCACAGAGATCCACCCTGTGTTACTCTAAGGGGAATCTGTCACCTGCTGTTCAAATCACTGAAAGGACCAATTAAAACTGCACTGCAGCTTCAATCCAGCAGGTGGCAGTATTAACTTTACTAAACATATCACCTGAATGATTGACAGTTATTAAAACCACTGATTGAGATGATCCACCTGGAAGAAGAACGTCCTCCACTATACCTTTAATAATAGTTTGAGGAGCCCAGTGGGCGTGGCTTGTGTCCAAGGCTGAGGCGTTCAAGTGAGGAAGGTTTTTTTTTTTATTCTGTTGATTCAATTTAAAACCCTCCCCCCCGTATCAACTACTCACCTCCTTTGTATTCATTAATGGCCTCCGATAAGGCATCTATTGACTCGATGTCCAAATTGTTCGTGGGCTCATCCTAAACAACGACAAAAAAACACAGTTAAACCTTTAGACGTCGTTTACATCTGCTTCCTGATGAGCAGGAAATCCAGATGTGGAAACAGCTGCTGGGACAGCCTGAGGCTGTATACCAATCACCTCTCCTTTAAAACAGGAGCTTTCAGACCAAAGCGCTGAGGCTGCTTTATCTTCCTGCTTCCAGTTACAGATGCAACCTATCAATTAATGAATTTAGCAAAAGTTGATTTAATTTACTGTTCGACTCAAGTTATTGATAAGCTGCCATTTTTCTAAAACGCTGAGCTTTCTCTTCTTTCCATAACATGAAGGGCTACGGTATGCCGTGTTCAGAAAAAAATTTAATCATTAAATTTAAATACTTATTGTGTCAGCTGCATTCAAAATGGATGGAAAACATTTAAAACTTATAAGAAACATCAAAACAGGGAAACTGGCTACTTTCTGTTTACTACAGTCCATTTGTACGTTATCGTGTGACGACATGCTTTGCATCGCCTCCTCCAATTGCGCCAACGGACGGAAACGCATCAAATTCATATTTAGATTTTTTCCTTTTTCTGACTTTTTAAAAGTTTGCATCACATTTGGATGGAGACGCATCCAGTCAGTGACCCCCAGATGCCACATACTCCGCTCCGCCCTGCTCACGTACGTCGTGCGGAGTACTCGTCTGTCATGTTAATCAATAAGAACTATTCAACATCCACCGCTAGTCCTGCGCATGTCACCCTCCATGTCCGTGTTCTCCGTCCTTCACCGTCAAAATACGGAGCCAAGCTATTTTTAGCTCCATTCCAGTCCGGCCAGCTAAAGATCCACAATTCCAATCGCACCAAACAGGAAAAAGAATGGCGTGAAGATCCAGTTTGTTAAATTAAAATATTCTAACAACAGATCGGTACCTAGAAATTACAGCATAAGTCTTATATATTCCCAAAAACTAAGACCGTTTACTTAATTGATTGGATGCAAACTATTGATACTTCAACAGACCAGGAAGCAGATTTCTCATCTCCATCAAAATATAAATTTTATACCAAGATGTTTAAAAGTTTAATCAACTCCAGTCAAAACAAACTTATTGCAGGTGTGAATGAAGAGATGCTGAGCAGAGAACAGTTCATAAAAAACTGTTTTGTATGATTCTAGTTAACCCCGTTACAAAAATCCACAACAAAAAGAAAATCTTTGGACAGAAACGGAACATATGCTGGAAGATGGTGGGGATTTATTTCATATCTCATATTGAAGGACAGGGACCGCCGAGGCTGTAGGCTTTGCTTTGTGAAGGCGCTCTGGAGCGGAGCAGGATGTGGGATTTCAGGGTGAGATTCAGCCTAACAGCCTAACCACTGTGGATGCTGTTATTTCAGGAGTGAACACTTTCATCTTGTCTCTGTTCTGAAAAAAGCTCAAAGACGCTCTGATAGTGAGACGGGAAGCGGCTCTTACCAAGATAAGGACATCTGGTTGATGACAGGCCAACTCAGAGAACACCACTCTGGCTTTCTGGCCACCTGTTAGGAGTGAAACCCAGATAAGATCAGAGACGCCTCCTTTGAAACGCAGCGACGCACGGCAGCCGTTCAGATTCGTACCGGAAAGTTTGGAGATCTGGATGGTGTGTGCGTGACTCTCAAGGCCGAAACGTCCCAGACACTTCCTGCTGTCCTGGTAGGGAAGGTTGAATTTCCTCATGAGATACTCTGACGCCGTCTCCTCCATGTTGAGCTGATCAGCGTACTGCTGATTAAAGAAGCCCACTTTCTGTCGGTAGAGAAAGGAGCAAAGACATCAGCGGTTAAAATAACAGCTTACTTTGAGTAAACCTGTTCTTCCTACAGCATCAAACATGCAGGTTAAGTCTGCAGGCTGTGGATGTTTGTTTACTGAGGGGTAGAAAATTAGCCAATCGCTGTTCCTCAGCTGAATTATGGTTGTTGGTGCTAATCCACCGGCAGCTTCTGGTGGATTAGCACCAACAACTGAAGCATCCACTCACTGTTTAATCTCTCTGTTCCGCGACCAAAAACATCACACTGCAGCGTGGAAATAAGCTCCAACATATCAGCTTCCTTCAGTGTTTCTTTATTTAGTTTGTTTTTAAAATATGTTAGCTTTAAAACACTTTGCATCGGATCTTTAAAGGACTGTTTACTCCTTTTCTGTAAAATTAGATGTCTTATTGTGCCGGCTACACGTCCTGAGCGTTAAGGCCTGAACACACCGTTCCGTACGACTTTTTAATCTCTGATCCCATTTTTTTCCATGTCACACTGACTGCGTATAGACAGGCTCTTATGGAGTCAAAAACGGGTCAAAATGTTTGTAAATTTATAAATCTTAGTTGAAACAGGAAAAATATAAGGTGATATTGAATGTCAACTTTTTACCTTCTAATCTGTGAAACTAAAAAAGCAAAAATTCTTCCCCTTCACTTGAAAATACACATTATTCAATTTAGTATTTTAATTATAATTTTTCCTCTTTTTGTTTCTTTTCTTTATTGCAGTTTTAGATTTTATATTTTGAGTTTTTAATTGCTTTCCTTTTTTAGTTTCAGGATTTTTATTTTTACACTTTCAGATTTTGACCTTAATCCGATGGGAGTGGGCGGGGAAACGTGATTGATGGGGAGCCATGTCCCGTTCCATGTTGCATTCATGGACTGTGGGAAATCCAGTTACTTAGTGAACACATTCTCTGCAGCATTTATTTGCCTTTTTGAGAAAACCCTGTAAAAAATATGTTAAAGACATTTAAATTATGACTTTTCACTGAGTCCCTTATAAAGGGTTAAGATCTAAAGAGAAGCGTCATCTCCTGGTCAGACCCTGTAATTTAGTGAAAGGTGGAGTCAGAGTAAAAAAATAAAAATAAAAAATGCACACCCAGGAGAGTGCCAGTGGCTGGAAGTTGGAGGAATTTTTCTGGCAGTCAAAGGGGAGTGGGCTGCCATTCGGCTGGCATTTGAGTGGGAAGCGCCATTTTAATGGCTGCTAGTGTAGACAGGACCTCTGACCCGGCAGATCAAACTGGATCAGGGTTCTGGCCTCATTCCTTCCTTCTCTGGTGAAGATGGTGGATCAGACCGTCTGTCACTACGCTCTCGTTACTAGGATTACTCTGCTCGCCGTGTTTGTGTCACTGTCGGTATGTTACTGAGACTAGGGATGCACTGATCCACTTTTTTCACCTCCGATACGATACCGATATTTGAAGTTTAATGTTGGCCAATTCCGATGCCAAAAACAGCACTGACTTATTACCTAAAAAATGGTTTTATTGTGTGAAAAAAACAAAAACTGGGATCTTGACTTCCAATTCTTAAAAAAAAGAAAAAGGAAACAACCCAAATATAAAAGTTATGACTCATTTATTTAACAACTGTGCACAAAATCTGACTTGATCCACATTTTTAAAAAGTGTCATTATCAAGCATCATCTCTGTGATTTCTTTTGGCCTCTATACTGTTACATGGAAAAATGTCACTTCTTTCCAAAGAACTTAGCTGCTTCCTTTTGGTTTGCCGAGTCTGATAATCTCAGCCTGTTCCTTCTTATCAAACTTCTGGAGGTGTTTTTAATTAAGTTGGTGGTGTTATAGTTTAAAGATTTAACACCGCCCCTCTGAACGTTTCTCCCACAAATATTACATGTAGCCATTGGGCTAGTAGGCTGAGAGAGCGTGAAAAACCTTCAGACCGCAGATCCTTTCGCTCGCTCCATCATAAACAATATGGCCGTGTTATGTTGTTGTGCTGCCGCATGACGGCGGGGCATAGCATAGAGTTAGAATGAATAGATCGGCCCCTATATTGAGTCAATGTCACCGATACCAATCTATTTTTTTCCCGTTATATCTGGACTAATACCGATAAAAATATCGGATCGGTGCATCCCTAACTGAGACCCCCCCCCCCATTTCAATCAGTGACTCACCAAGCGATGATTCTTCCTCATCTCACCCTTGATCTGTAAAAAA